GAAAGATTTGAAAGGAAAGAGACTGTGAAGGTAGAAATGGAGGATGATCGTATTGCTTGTTTGTGGTCCCTCGGACTGCCGGTCGATCTCCCTCATTAACATTCGACTCTTTGTCTCTGTCATCGTTGTGGTTGTCCTATTCCGTAAGGTCGTCCCCATCCTACTCGAGAGATTCTCTACTTCTCTTTCCTTCTTATCCATATCCTCCTCCTCCTTCTCCTCCTCCTCCTTCTTCTTCTTCTCTTCTTCTTTTTCTTATTTTCTCAACCGGTCGACTTTTAGTAGCTCTCTGCTTATTTTCCTTTTTTTTATTCCCTCTTTCCCTCTCTCTTCTTCTTCTTCTTCTTGAGCTTCTTCATCTTCTTCTTCTTCTTCTTCAACTTCAACTTCTATTTTTCTGTTTAAGTTCACTCTCCTGCTCCTCCTTCTCCACAAGCCATCGGACTTTTTTCGGAAGGAAGAAATGAGGATGGTCCGCTTCGGAGAGAGGCACGAGCATTCCTCAGCAATTTCGGTGTAATGCCGCGTCGTCAAGCCTGGTCAATCTTCGGCCTTGATAATAATGGCAACAGTCGTGTGGAGGTCACAATTAGGGACGCCAACATGTTCGCCAATCCTCCACCGCCGTTCGTACTTTTTCCAAGGAAACGCGTAAGATCGTTTAATTTTAGTATCGACGATTTTTATACAGAAATTTTCCATAATCGATTAAAAAAAATAAAAAAAAATAAAAATAACAAACAATAATAAAATTTCTCTCGGCAGAAACGTTAAAAGAAACATACAGTAATTTCGGTTTTCTAATATGAAATAAAACGCAATTTTTTCTAAACTAACAGTTGTAAACAAAATTACACAGAATTTGTTTCTATAGCAATCTAAAAGTGTCAACTACCAAACCTTAAAAGAAAAAAATTCTAACATTAATAAAAGAATAACGAAACAAACATAATCCTATCTATTGGTGCAAGCCGAAATTACTTTCTTGCCAACACAACCATGAATCGCGTTTAAATATCATTATGTCAATTTTGGATTCATCGTTTAAATAATAAATTGTCGTTAGATTTAAAATGCGCAAAACGTTAAATATACAAAATTGCAATTAACAAACGATTTAAAGATCTTTTATAAAACGATTTAAATGCGTGAGAATAAATTCGAGGTAGCGCTTTTTGGTCGAGTGAAGAAAAAATTAAAAAAAAAAAAATAAAGGATAAGAAAGAGGAAAGGGAAAGAGAAACTGCAAACCAAACGAGAGAGAGAGAGAGAGAGAGAGAAAAATTCTTTGTGCAGAGAGTGCGAGCTTTTTAATTTTATGAGGGGTGTTTATCTTACGATTATGTTGATAACTTCTCGGTACACGCTCGTAACGTAAATTGGCCTCCTGACAAGAATTTCGTGAGTGAGTCAGAGAGGGAGGGAAAAGGGGGAGGTAAGAGGGAGAAGTTGGAAATCGTTCGAAAAATTCGTCTCGCTACTTCGGGCAATCGTAAAACATTATTTCGATTCGAATAAATCTCTTTGTATAATAGTGTATTAGCAGTGTTTGCTTGTTTCCTACCCAAAGGATTCAACTCGTCCATATTCGCATACGCATTATACATATACACACACATACACACACATATTTTATATATATATATATATATATATATATAAATGATGCGATTTAAATAGCCCATAAGCGAGGTATGATAATCGCTTACGCGTGAAATTTCAAGGCCATTAACGTTTCATAATCCACGATGATATAAATAATTTCAATTTTCGAGTGGACGTATAGTACACCGTAAGGTACGATAATGCTTGTGTAAAAATATGATAGTAAATAATAGTTATTTCCAATTTTGCAAGAACAGAGTCCTTATATTTTTGTTTGTTTAGAACGAAAGAGATAGATCAAATTTTCATTTCTCTCTTACGTATTTAAAGTCTTTGCTTAAGATCTATAATGGTGATGACCGTTAAAAGTAGAAGAAAAATGTTCGAAAAAGTACATCATAGAATTAGCTCTTTCTACCATCCTTTTCCAAGCTGTTCCAGGACGAAGAGAGACGAACGGAGGGAGACTCACCGGGCCGTGTGTAACTTGATAAACAAGTTTACTTGGAGAGGCCAGTATCTTATATACACGCTTACACTGGGTGTCCCAAGGAGACTGAATACTAATTGCTGGACGTGCCGTGTGAAACAAAGCGGCTACTCCATGGATATACTGCAAACTCACAATCCTTCTTCTTCTTCTTCTTCTCCTCTTCTCTTTCTCTTTCTCTTTCTCTTTCCTTATCGTGCATCAAGTTCAAGCAACAAAATCCTCTCGAAGAAGAAGAAGAAGAAGAAGAACTTGACCGATCCGAAATTGGAAGTAAAATGAAACGCATACTGAAAGAGTATGCTCTTCTTTCTCAATGTGTAACTTAGTTAGCAACACCAGTTTATCCAGATATTTGAAAAATGTTTGAACCAATGTTGTGGAAACCTTTAGATCTTCATTCCTTAAGCAAACAAGAAATAGTACGCGTATCATTCCGTTAAACGTTATAATCTTACAAGAATAATCTGATATCAATTGTTAAGTATATACGATCATCGAATAATAGTTAGACAAAAAAATTCTGGTACCCCCGGTATATTAGCTATGGGCAATCCTGTCGAAGAAGCGAATTCGCGGTCGCCGCTTTTGGTTTTCCGGATCTTGGGTCCGGTAGTCAGCGGGTGGTGGTATTTCTGATTCTACGGCTTACAGCGATAAGAAGGTGAGAGAGAAAGAAAAAGAGAGAGGGAGAAAGAGGGAATGAAAGAAAGAAAAAAGATAAGTCAAGCCATGGAAATAACGTTGAGTATGCAGGCACGAGGCAAGCTATAGATGAGATGGCACGAGGAGCACTGCACTCGGACGTGTCGACTGCTCGCACGAGTCTCTTCTGCTATCGAGAGGATTAGGAATCCTCTTCGAACTCTTTGCTGAGTCTTTCTGATCCTCCTCTAATATCCCAGTCACGAGTTCTTTGTGTTTTATACTTCCCTTCTCTTTGTTTCTTTCTCTTTTTTTTTTTTATTTCCTTTTCACTTCTCGTAGTTGGGTCGTGTTCAAAAGTCAGATTTTCAAATGCATGCAACTTTAGAAATTTCTTTCTTTCTTATCTTCTTATTACAAATTGTAAGACTCTGTTTCGAGTTAATTTCTACCGGATTACACAGACATTAACAGCTAATTGCAATTATCGTTTTGTTAAACATTTATAAATATGTTTCTTGTCAGGATTATGTATTAAACGCATTTATATATATATATATATAGTTTGGATTGTATCCTTTAAGATTCGAGTGCACGTAGCCAACATGACGTACAAATGTACCCTTATCGCTTTAAGCAAGTTCTTGTTGCATCTTAAGCGCTACTCGTATTTTCACGCATTATTTGCGCCCGTCACACCACCTACGTTGTTAGCAAATCACAGATCAAACGCATTTCCCTGACGTCGCAAACCTAACGTCGCAAATCTTTGATGTCTCCTTATCGTCTTACTTATATTTATCCGCTAAACGGTATGCCTCCCATTTGTTCGTTTATGATACTTATGCATGTTTGACAATTATTTTCTTCTTCTTTTTTTATATGTAGATACAAAAATTATGTTTTTGAAATGATTGTTTTAAGAAACGACTTAGTATTGAATTTTAAACAAGCATGTTTCTACTTTGGTTACAACTTTGTACCAATCGATGATTCAGACCTAATGCATGCACGATAATCTATGACTGCAAGGAGTACATAGGAACCTATATACAGAGTACAGAACCAACCAAGAGAGAACAGGATGTAACTACTCGTAATATATACGTAAATTACTGCAGATGATAACGCGCTATGCCCACGCGTTCTAGCGAGAGAGATCCTGTTTTTCTTTCTCCTTTCCATGTTTCATAAATGGAAAAAAAAATTGGCCTCGTACTTAAGTACATATCATATCTCTTTTGCAATATAAATTTTCTATCTCATCTTCGTATACATATATATATATATATATTATATATATTTTCTCTAAAAGACAGCATCATCGTATTTGTTCAAAGAAATATAGAACAATACAAAATTAGAACGATTATCATTGATTTCAATAATCTCCTTATAATAGTTATTTTCCTATTATTAAAAAACAGTGGATAAATGTATTAATATTTGTTAAAGGTTTGCAGTATTTCAATTTTGATATTTGAACCCCGGTAAATGTTAAACTCCTACATGATATCCCATATCGTTACGAATATGGAAGTCATTAAACACATAAAGAAAAATGGCTCCCATCCAACTTTCGATTTACGAGAAACAGGACTCATCAACAGTAGATACTTGCCATCAACCATAAGCCATTTTATGAAACACTTAGTACATCGAGGTGTATTTACAAGTAAAGTGTATATAGAAGTACGTAGGTACCTTAGTATGTAGCTCTAACGACGATTGGAAAACATGAATGCGAACTCTCATGAACTTTCCATAGAACAGGAGATGAGATAAGTGGTTTGTCCTCGCGTAAAGGCTACATCCTAGCGATAATGTCAGAAAAATTTACTCATGTATGTACCAAAAGAGAAGAAAAAGAAAAAGAGAGAGTGAGAGAGAGACCCCATAGATGCAAGCTGTTTCTAGAGAACGGAAGAAAATAGATGAAGATAGAAAGACGTGATGCATGCTTGCGATTAGGCGAATAGGCAGAGGTTAGTGTAGATAAAGGATTATGAGAGAAGATCGGTGAATCCAGTCGAATAACAAGTGCATTATAGATTACACTACCTAACCTTTTCTATTCACATTATTGTAATTAAACACTCTAATTATTCATTAATGATTCAAAAAAAAATCATTAGGAATTAAGAAATATTATTTTAAAATCTTCGTGATTTTATTCCAAAAAATAAATAAGATTATTCCGAAGTTATAAAAAGATATATTGTTATATATTATAGAAATAGTTTAGTTTACTTAGGTGTACCTTAAAATTTGAGAAATGTGGTTGATATTATTCAAAATGAAAATAATTAAAAGCTTTCACTGCTCACTTGTGCATCACCCGTTACAATGTGTAACGTCCGATCTTCACAATATACCGAATGCACGTGGAAACGTATAATTTAGCGAACACACACACACACCACTTCTTCGAGACTCGATTTATACACTGTGCGAGTTAACTTTGAGAAACACATACACGCACACTTCAGTATCCCCTTTACATAGATGATCTAGCTTATTTTTATTTAACTGATAGATTCGTAGTATCTTATTTTTCATCGACTTAACGATAAGAACAATGTTTGATCTCTTATTATTAGATAAGAATAATTGAACATTTATATTTTCAATTCTCACTCATAGATTTGTTGGAGATCTCGATCGAGTAAGTATCGGTCAGAGTTCGTGGAGAACAGAGCGATCACGGTGTAGCTCGTGCCCCGGCAACATCGGCATCGCCACTATTCTTTGCTTGCACATGTTACTCTCTATTAAGCTCCCTTCACACCGTCGACTCGTTTAACACAAATACACCCAGTTGGAAAATACTAATGTAAGAGTTTCATATTCTCATATGACATTTGAAATTTGATATTTTGAAAATACCAACCGAGTTGGGTTTTCATGATCACTGTGATTGATCCGTTTCTGAACGTTGAAAATTTCTTTTACTTATTTTGTTTTTTTTTTTTTTCTTATCATTTAAATGATCCTCGTGTATATTCAAACGTTACATTGAGTTGTACAAATTTGGGAAGTTGTACGCAGAATAAAATCTTTTAGATGGAAGAAAGATTGGTTCAATAAACACAACTCCTCTTTTGGTAGGTTAAGCTGTGTAATGTCACATCCGTGAACCGAACATTGACACGAGGACCTTCGCCGCGAAACTACTTAACGCGCTAGAAAGTCTGTAACTAAACAAATATGACTAATCCTGGAGAGTCAACGACACGGTATAACCCTTTGTCGCTTATTCCGTTGAACCCAACGCTGTTTTCTTTACCCACTTAAAAAGCCTCTGCTTGTACATATACATATACATTCCTTGAGTGTTTTAAATATAACACAGGCGTATGAATAAAATATACATATAGACGTTACATCGATAAAAAATGATTAATAATCAAATAAATACAAATATCTACAATAAAACTTGAATAAGCAACAAATTCAAAAGGAAAAAAAGAAATAATCATACAAGGATTACCTTGGACCATCCAATCGACCAATCAAAAGCCGTATTATCCTCGGTTACCTTTCCATCAATTCACACTATTCTAGTTAAAGATCATAGAAAGTCCATCGATCGGAACCATATAAATCGAGTTGTAAAAATGTAAAAAGATGAGAAAAGAAAAAAAATATAACCGTACCGAAAAGCCGAAAATATAAACTCGTGTGTTTTCGGGATCTCTAAGAAGAAGAGTACTTAGTTCGCGTAGTTGAGTGCGGGCGTAATAAGACTGCCTGCTGACGGCGGTAGCGCAGTTCGTGCCCGCGAGCTGCGGCAGCAAGCAACCAAGAGGGAAGCCCCTCTCTATCCCTTCCTCTCTTTCTTTCTTTCTTTCTTTCTCTCACTCTCCTCACTACGGCACACTCTTCTGGCGACTCCTTTGGTGCCTGCCAGCCAGCCAGCCAGCCAGCCGGCCAGCCAGCCAGCCAGCCAGCCAGCCAGCCAGCCAGACCAAGAGACCTATACACAGGTTGGTTGTGCCTGTACAGAGCCAGAGCCTGCAGAGCCAGAGCCTGCGGAGCCAGCTTGTCGAGACGCACGGTTGAATCCGTACCTTTCTCTCCCTTTGCTCTCTTACCTTCGAACGAATCACGCGAAGCCCTCGAGCGAAGACGCCCGAGGGAACTCCGTCAGGTCCCTCGACTACCACCTTCTTATCCCCACTTCTTATTGTTTTCTGATCTCTTATACAGTTGGTAAAGTAGATCTCTTTCATTATAATCTTCCTTAAATATTATTATAGAAATTAGGTATGCATAAGTTACCGTTATATTGTTTTCTTTTATTGTACTTCTGTATGACAATTAATTGTCCGAGAATGGTGGGCCAGTTTTTCGAAGTTTCCTCAACAATTCAGGTTTGGTAAGCAATGCCTTCTCGATAGATTCGATTAAAACTTCTTCCTGATTGTAAGGCGGAAATGGCATACTTTCTAAATTATAAATATATACAGCACCTTGAACATCCGCAGTTACCATCTGTTTAGCATTAGCACTGAACTCGACTTTTACTAGTCTTGCTTCGTTTGGTGAACGTGTTACAGATGCTGGAGCATAAGTTCTCCTTTTAATATTCCATATGCAAATCTCGTTGTTAACGATGCTAGCGATTATGGTTGAATACGTGGGACACCAGGTTGCGTATGGAACACATGCCGTCGTTGTTGAAAGGGTGATCAAAGGTTCGGTTAATTCTTCTATCCAAATCCTCGTACACCAATCGGCTCCGCAAGTCAAAAAGAGTTTAGAACAAAAAGGAGAAAATTCCATTCTGTAGATTGGGCCATCGTGTGCTAGAAAACTATCGATGTGTTGATACAAATAATTTGTAGAGCATCGATATATCGCACCCTCGTCTGAACCAACAAAATAAATGGCATGTAAAGTTGGATGTCTGCAAAGAACGAGAACACCTGGATTTTGACTTATTAGAATATCGTACTCGATACATTGATCGGATCTTTTAACTCCTGGTATTTTATCTTCTATCTTGGAAATTTTCATCATCTCGGTCATTACGAAATTTTCGTCCATCGGGTAACGATATACACAACCATTTTGATTACTCGTATAAATTAATTCCTAAACCAAGAAACAAGTATTAAACTTATATATTTAATTTTATTCCTCTTTGAATATTAAACTTTCAATACCTGAAAATCAAAATGTTCGTCACTTTCCCACCATTGTACTTGCCAATGGGGTTCATATACAGATGAGGTGTCACTATTGCTTTGTCGTATTATGTTAATAGAAGTACTGCTAACGTCAATAACTTTGATCGAACCATTGTAAAAACCAATAGCAAGTAAATTTGGTCGATCGTGACTCCAATCGATGTCGGAAATTTGACTGTCAAAGTGATACATTTGTCCTGGTTCTTTTGGATTCTTTGCACACCACAATAACAAAAGACCATCTTTTTTATCATTACCTGGCTATATGCGAAATGATCGTGTCAATATTTATGTTAATACCAAATGTTAATACAAAAAAGCATTATTGCTCTATACGAACTTTTGAGCCATACGACACAGCAATGATGTTTCTGTTAGAGTAATTCCAACTAAATGAAGAAACTGACCGATCTTTACTTAAATTGCAAGTATAAGTCCACAGGAGATCAAGATCGTACGTAAATTCTAAATCGAGACTACACGGATCTTGTTGAACGATTCCAGTGAAACGTTTTTGAGCAGCAAGGTAAACGTTGTTGGATAATATTCGTTCCATAACCCGAACAGCGTTCAGAAACCCAGTATTATATACTATGTGAGCTAATTGTTCAGAGGAACGTTTAACTTGAAGAGCCATGTCATACTTGGGCAATTTATCTTCCATTTCCTACATATCAAATTATGTTACGAATATTTCAAATATATAAACAAATGAACGAATCTGTAATAAAAGTATAGCAAAGACCGGACCTGTGTTTCCAACATTCTTTGATAACTATCCCTAGTACGAACAATTAAAAGATTATTCTTCTCCATCAATAATTCCGATTCCTTATACGTGTCATGTATAACCCAATTATTAACAAACATTCCTTGATTTTGTCGACTCCTTTCTTCGAGATAAGTTCCACGCGATTTTTTGATAATCCCAATTGTTTGGGTTTCAGCGTCAGTTGCTTTTCTAACAGTTGCAGGAGCTGATATCAAACGGTTGTATCTTTCATTGCTCTCTCTGACTGCCTGACCTTCGGGTGTACGGAGATCACTCGTCAAGGGAAGCATCTCAAAGAAGATGATAGTTTCTGTTTCTTTTAATATAATCATAACTGTTTCTGGTCGAGTGTAAAAGACATCTGGATCATGACTGAGAAGTAACAATTGGAAGAAAGATCAAATAAATGAATGAATGAATTAATTAATTTATTTATTTATTTATTCATTCCAACTACCTGGGCAGATAGAATTGAGGCGGTGCTTTCTCTTCAGTATCATCTATAATACCAACAAACTGAGTGGACAAAAGACTCTCCACTTGCATATCGTCAGTAATATACAAGGATGATCGAGATACTATGGAAGAACTGGATTTAAGGCCCAAATGTAACGAGGAAGATAAGAAACTCAATTGGACGTTGCTTTCAGCTTGAGAAAAAGCGATTTGTTCAAAAGCAGTCATTTGGCGATCATCGATTAGATTAAACATAGGGTGTGTCAAAGGTTTCGGTGTGACATCGACGTCATCTTCATAAAGTCGAAGTGCCATACGTTGTTGCAATAATGCTGATGCTATATTTTTACCATATTTACGACCCTTAGAACCAACTTGCAATCTAAATTTTGACGATGATACACTCTGTGGCCTAGAACTTGGTCGCTGAGAATTGTCCGTGTCGCTTGCTTTCATTTTTCTATCGTTACTTTATACACGTAACTTTTTTCATCTAATTTCTTTTATATCAATTAAAATATAATATAAAATCAATGTTTTTTATTATAGAAATTATTTCACTCACTTGATCAAGTACTTATTCGCAAACAATGCTATCTATACACCATAGCGTAGGATTCCATGGAAACGTGAGAATCGATCAGGCTGATATTATCTTCTATTTCTATACTATCACATAAAAAACAAAGGAATATGTTAAATCTATTTAAGTTCTTAAAAAAATACATTCCAATCTTCAATTTTGCATTAAAACAATTCATTACGATCATGTTTTAAAAGAATCAATATTTCGAATCAAAATAAAACGATTTAAAAATGCGCGCCATGCGCAATTTGAAACACACATGCTCTCTAGTGGGAAAAACGGCAACTATTCGATATACGTGATCGAACGACGTCTTTCGGTCGATACAGGAACAACACGAATGTGTGTGCGCGCGCGTTGGATCCAGTCAAATAAAAAAGTAAAAATACATTTACACAAATATTATTATAATTATTATTATAACGATTATTGATAATAAAATATTACGATAAAAAAAGTTCTTTGATCGTTTAAGAGGTTATATGTGCACGACAAAAAGAATTGGGTTGGAGGGACGTGTACAGAAAAGGAGAAAAAACAATTCCGAATGAAAATTTTCGACTTCAAGGACATCTCATTTTAACGAGCCACCATCGTTGGTCGAATTCCTCATGTATGTGTTAACCTATGAATATACATTTTACATTTTATATTGCAAAAAGTATGTTGAACGTTTGTTACTTGCGCAATCGTTACGTTTTTTAAGAAACGCTTGATTCGTTGACAGAACTGTGTAGCTTGTGAATTAGAGAGACAAAGATGAAAACATAAGGGGGGTGGGGGAGAGGTAAAGAAAAAGAAAGAGAGAGAGAATAAAAGTAAGAGTAAGTATTACGTTATTTTTTTTTGGTCTTTCTTTTTTGTTGTTACGAAAAAACGCCAGTGGGAGAAAATAAATGGCCGAAAGAGTCGCCTTTTAATCGTAGCATATCGAAGAAGTAAGTATCGATAGAAATATTACACCAACAACGATGAACACACGTCACTAATCATTCTTTTTACGCTTAATTTTAATTTACTTTTAACAGCTGTCATCTAAACTATCATCTTTTTCTATCTTCGTTTTTCGTGAACATTGACAAAATTAGATTTTTTTTTCATTATTTCCTTTCCCATGAATAACGTTCGTCGTTAAATGATAATTATGATGAGATTGTTATTTTGTTTTATTATTCGGTACGAGTTACTAATCCTATTGTTTTTACCATTTCAAGAACACATGACTTTCAATTAAACGTATCTCGAAAAACAGAGATTGATACTTTTATATCGTATTTAAATGCACGTATGTACACATATATACTTCGGATTTTCCGTTGTGAATAACTCGCACAATTAAAGAGAGAGAGAGAGAGAGAGAGAGAGAGCTAGGGAGCGATCGTCGTGTGATGAAGACCACGTATGTTCGTCGTACGTAATAAGGTCTGTTACTATATAAAGCAATCACTTAACCTTTGCTTTATCTACTACGTGTCACTAAATATTTTACACTTTTTACTTTTATTTTTTAATTATTATTTGAAATTTGTAATTTGTCATTTTATTCGTGATTAATTTGATGTCTTTAAAATATTTCTTATCAAATATGTAAATACAATTCGGGAATTCAAGTTCGTTTATGGTTCCATTTGTAGTCCAATTCACATTATATTTATTTACAGGTATTTTTGTATATTTATTTTTCTATAGTGTGTTTAGACTACAATGATAACAAGCTGATCACAATTCTATCATATCATATATTTATTTACAGGTATTTTTGAATATTTATTTTTCTATAGTGTGTTTAGACTACAGTGATAAGAAGCTGATCACAATTCTATGATATCATATTAATATCTCCCTACGTGTTATACGAGCGTTCTTATTATCTCTCTAATCAAAATTTTATTTTATAATTTATCGCAATACTTCATATAATTTTGTACCTGGAATACTTTTATTTTCTTAGATAATTGGAGTGAGATGAGTACGATGAGGGAACAAGCCGGGCCTTCCAGGCCTTCGGGTTCTGCTACGGAGGAAAAAGAAAAAGATGATAGAATGTTTGAGTGTAACATTTGTCTTGATACAGCTAAGGATGCAGTTGTAAGCATGTGTGGACATTTGTTTTGGTACGTCATTTATTATGATATTTTTATTGGATAACCATGTACAAATTTTTAATGATTAACTATGAACATTCATATTTGTGATTTGTATTATTATAAGATTAATTATTGTTTAATTACGTATAGCTGGCCTTGTTTACATCAATGGCTAGAAACTCGTCCTTCACGACAAGTATGTCCGGTTTGTAAAGCTGCTATTAGCAAAGAAAAAGTCATTCCATTGTATGGACGTGGAGCAACAAAACAGGAAGATCCAAGGTTTATCATTAATCTAATTTAGAATAATATGTTTAATAACAATATTATTAAATAAATAATTATTTCAGAAATAATGTTCCACCTCGTCCTGCCGGACAGAGATCGGAACCTGAAACCAATCTTGGATTCTCTGGATTCGGGTTTGGTGATGGCTCATATATGTCTTTCGGTATTGGAACATTTCCATTTGCATTTTTCACGTCTACATTTAATTTTGGAGAGACTCGACCAAGTCCTGGTATAATTCAAATCTCTTAATCTTTATATACAATACATATAATATTATATATATATATAATTTTGTATACTTTTATAATTAATATTATTATTTTATAGCTGCCCGAGGTACTCCACAATTTGAAGAAGAGCATTTCTTATCTAAAATATTTCTTTGGTTATCATTGATATTCATTTGCTGGCTGCTAATGGCGTAACAGTTTTTTAACTCGCGCTATATGTCTCATAATAATTTTTAATATTATTCGGCCAGTCCATTATACGTGCGTTCTTCATACATAATTTTCCTTATTTTTAATAATATTTGTTAATCGTATAAAAAACTATATAACTGCTTGGATAAATAAATATATATATATATTAATTAGCTCTTTTACTACTATCATCTTTTTATCCTTTTTAATCTCTACATATACATATATATGTATATATGTATATATATATGTATGTATATTCATTTATATATATATGTATGCACTATATACAATGTATAACATAATATATAAATATATATATATATAAATATATGTATAAAAGTTTGTTAGAAATTATCCAAGCAGTTCTTAATTTTTGTTTTCTCTAATATTTTATTTCTTTTGGACATCATGTTATGTTATGTGTATATGTAATTACTTTTAATTTACAAAATATTTTTGATTCCTTATTCATTTAATTTATCAAAAATATTTGGAATGTGCTTTTAACATTGTAAGCATTATATGCGCGTTAAACATTAAAAGTACATTTTTATTGCGAGATGATGCAATTTAGAAAAAAAGTACTGCTATAGTCAGTACATTCCGAATATCTGCTTTTTATCTTTTCTTAGAATATAAATTTAAAAAGAAATAATCTAACTTTCATGAATATAAACAGTCTCATTAATTATATTGGATTAAAATTGTATATAATCTATAAAATAAAAATTACATTAGAGAATAGTTCAATATTATCAATATATAAGGCTATTAATATTAAATGCAATCGTTACAAATATATAATATTGTAATATATCATGAATATATAAACAAAAGTTGAAGTACAAAACATTTGTCGTGTGTACGTTTGCTTTAATACGACTCTCTTACCTATTTTTTGTTATTAAAACCTAATGATATCATTTAGTTTGTTTTAAAATGTGAAATAGTAAAATTATTGTACTCACAAAATCTCACTTTTTCTAATTCGTTTATTAATCATTAGGTAATACAGATAAAGCAACGCGAAAGTTGCAAAATATTAAATTCATCAAATTATTCTTAACAATTGTTGTTTCAAAAATTTCTATATAAAGATTACCATCTAACTAAAGCTACTTACATTGATTATTCTCAGAAACAATAAACAATATATATATTTATTTATTTTTAATATTGCACCAATTAAAAGAAAAAAAATTGTTGCATTGAAGTTATTTAACCATTTGAATTGGAGAGGTCTTTAGAAAAATTGTGTCGTGACAAATGCCAAAGGAGTTATCACGTATCAATTGCACATTGTGTTTTAATAACTTGGCACTTTTTTACAACTAATATGAATAGCACGATCATATTGCCTGAAACTCAAATGGTTAATCGTGTTATTGGTAAACTTGCATAAATATACTATTTTTATACCCTACGTTTGTTCGTTTCTGACTATGTTCTAATAAAACAAATGAATAAAATCGAAAAAATATCGTTCCAATGAAATTTCACACTGAACAATTTTGTTGTAATGGTTCTATTAATCATATCACAGGTTGTAGCTCCACAAGGGTAAAAAATATATGCTTCCCTTGCCTACTTTTTAATATGTCAATGAAAAATAGCTATTTTGTGCATTGAAAAATCTTTTAAATAGTTAAGTGCGGAGTTAATATTGTTACTAAACTCTATTTTAGTTTTCCCATATATATATATATATATATATATATATATATATATACAAATATATATATAGATCTATTTTTTTAAATAGATAAATGATTTTATTTATTCAATGTATAATTGAAGAAGAATATTTCAAATATTTTGTTTATAGTTGAACTTAAACAAAATATGTAAGAAGCTTCCTAATCGCATTTAATTACAAACGCAACTCAAATTGATATATCGATTTCCTTGATGTATGTCTAATTAGAAAGCCTTAGATTTCATCTTTTTGAGGAGTAGACTTTGTGAAACCTTTAGATACAAGTAAATCGTTACACTCTTGACGTGTGAGGCTTGATAAATTTAATCTCTCCATTTCCTAAAATTTATTTTAAAATGTTAAATATTGTTATTGAAAATGAATATGTTTCTGTCATATAATTAAAACGTACCTCCTCGTTTTCATCATAAAGAATAAGTTCTGGATTTGCACCTTGAATATGTTTGAATTCAACATTTTTGCTGTTTATGATATTAAGGATATTAATAATCATAACTTTGTATAATATCTTAATTAATGTTCTTTCATCATTTTGCATAAAAAAAATATAATGAAACTTAGATAAATAAACAAATGAAATTTACATTAGGCAAGATACGTCATATAATTAATAATAAGATATTAAATAACTTAAATAATTTTCAAAGGATACTATTGTGGTACATCCTGGAAAATAAATTGTTTGACATCCGGAAGCCGGTTCAAGGAACATCCACTACAACTCTATGTCAAAATATGAAATATATCTTATAATTAGTATAATACTTAACAAATATGAATTATTCATTCTTGTAGAAAAAAAAAATATTAATACCTTGATTTTCGCAAATGCATATTTCTTAGTTTCAGCTGAGACTGCAGCTAAAGTAACAACAAAGAGTAATAGGGAAATAAAAGTGACAGTGGAAGGTGCCATGTTTATTTTTAGAATGCAAAGAAAACGGAAGTAAGACACTCCTGATTTTCTGCGCGGATAAATTACACGAATTTAAAAATTTTCTTTCCTTTTACTTAATATTAAACTTTGAATAAAGTTAAAATAATAATAATTACAATTTTAAATTATTATTTTTTATTGTAAAATCGATATTTTTCATTAAACATTATAATAAAATTTTATTGATATTACGTTAATTTGGTGTAATAATAAATTTAAATTATTTTGTAAAATTCTATTACATTTATTATGTAATATTTATCTACTTATTATCTACTTTTTAAATTTATATCCATTAATATTATTTCCAATTGTTGTTTACGATGTAAAACAAAAATTTAAAATTTTTAAACGTTTTAATAATTATTTAAAAAAAAAAAAGATATTTTAAATTACTCAAAATATCTCCTAGTTTTCGTAATGCTACGAAAAATATGTTCAGATAATTACAAATGGAGGAAGCATAATTACTGTTTATAATTATAGTAAAAAAAAACGGCATTTTTCTTTTGCTCTACGAAACTCTAAATAATTTGTTTATTTAGTTAAATAATAATTATAGAGAATATTTAATAAATAATATATGATTAATAATAATGAAATAAATAAAATTAATAATATCTCTAGTTCGTGAAGGCGCAAAAGTCGTACGTAGTTGATCGAACTCTTATGTCGAAAAAATGGCGCTCTCTTGTGCGAGTAAGTTTTTCTTATTTTTATTTGTATTTTGATTTACGACTTTATATATTAACTATGTTCGAACAATAACAATTTTAACATAATCATTTTCGAATTAAACGATACGTGATATCGGAAATAAATTTCTGATTAATTAGCGTAACTCTTAAGCCGATAATAATATGAACATAACCTCAAAAGACCGCGCTTTATTGTATTATAATAAAATAAAAATGTATTTACAGTTTCCAATGAAGTGCCAGAACACCCTGTATTGTCTCCGGTATCTGGTTCTATATTTGAAAAACGTCTCATCGAGAAGTATGTTGCGGAAAATGGAGTGGATCCCATCACTGGCAAAGAGTTAACCATAGAACAATTGATTGATGTTAAAAGTATATGTTAATTGATAGAATTTTATTCATTATATTGTATATTTATCATTCTTATATTATTTTATTGTTTGCAGCTACTCCAATTGTTAAACCTAAACCACCGAGTGCCACATCAATTCCAGCTATATTAAAAATATTACAAGATGAATGGGACGCTGTTATGCTGCATTCGTTCACTCTTAGACAACAATTACAAACAGCTAGACAAGAGTTGTCCCATGCTTTGTATCAGCATGATGCAGCTTGCAGAGTAATCGCTAGATTAACTAAAGAAGTTACAGCCGCCAGAGAAGCTTTGGCTACTCTTAAACCGCAAGCTGGAATTGTTCAGGCAACGGTTATTCCGCAACCGGTATGTTACTGAAATCTTCTAATGAAATGAATATTTATACAAATTGAGTGTGTATATTAAAAGAAAATAATACTTTATTAAATAACAGGCTGTGGCAGTCGAAGCTGGTGGAACAGCTGCTCAGCCAATGGAACAAGCCGGTATTACCGAAGATGTCATCCAAAAATTACAAGAAAGAGCAACTGTTCTTACACAGGAAAGAAAACGCCGTGGACGTTCAGTTCCTGAAGACCTACTTCCTCAGGATAGCATTCGAACATTTCAAACACTTGCATCTCATCCTGTACGATATTATATATTTTTTATTTTCTCACATACATGTATGAATATATCTTAATAATCTATATATCTCGTTTTAGGGTCTTCATTCTGCTAGTGTACCTGGAATTTTGGCTTTGGATATCCATGGTGCAGATACAAGCAAAATTTTAACTGGTGGAGCTGATAAAAATGCAACTGTATTTAATAAAGATACAGAACAGGTTGTCGCTATCTTAAAAGGTCATACTAAGAAGGTACTTTATTGCATATATGTGTATTTATATTTCTCATTCATATATATATATATATATATATATATATATATTTATATTATTTATTTATATATATATATTTTTTTTATAATATATATATATATTTATATTTATTTATTTATTATAATATTGTTTAATGTACAAAAATTGTAGGTTACTAGAGTAATTTATCATCCCGAAGAAGATATAGTAATGACTGCATCACCTGATACTACAATCAGAGTATGGAATGTTGCTACAAGTCAAACAACTTTATTACTAAAGGCTCATGATGCTCCTGTAACCGGATTGTCATTACATCCGACTGGAGATTATCTGCTAAGTTCATCATTAGATCAACATTGGGCATTTTCTGATATTCGTACTGGAAGATTATTAACTAAGGTTCTTATCATTTAAATGTTTAATAAAACAATAAAATATAGTTAATTTGATTGAATAAATAACATTGATATTATTGTAATTTTGTAGGTGGCTGGTCAAACTAGTCAGCCATTAACCACAGCACAATTTCATCCAGATGGATTAATTTTTGGTACCGGAACTGCTGACTCCCAAGTGAAAATTTGGGATTTGAAGGAGCAATCGAACGTCGCTAACTTTCCTGGTCATTCAGGCCCAATCACAGCTATTAGTTTTTCGGAAAATGGTTATTATTTGGCTACAGCTGCTGAGGATTCTTGCGTCAAACTATGGGATTTACGAAAATTGAAAAATTTCAAAACTCTGCAATTGGAGGAGGCATATGAAGTTAAAGATATTTGCTTTGACCAAAGTGGTACTTACTTGGCTGTTGCTGGAACGGATGTTAGGTAAGTTTTTATTATATATTTCATAATAACATCATTCTTAACGCCTGACGCGTTAGTTGTATTTGTATTTTGTATTTTTTATTTTTCTATTTTTTTACAGAGTATATTTGTGTAAACAATGGCAAGAGTTGAAAGTATTGAACGATCATACAGCAACGGCAACAGGTGTACGTTTTGGAAAACACGCACAATATATAGCATCCACTAGTATGGATAGAACATTAAAACTTTATGGTCTCCCTTAAATTGACTTTATAGGAATGTGACAATTATTTTAAGAACTATGTAGGACTTATATAACATTATTTCTCTATATCAGTTTTATTATTAGATTTATATTGATAATATTTTGTTCTTATATAGAGATCGTACCCCATTAATTTAGATTATATTTCTTAATTTAATATGCATTTCTTATATACACAAATAGTTCAGCTAAAAAAAGTTCAAAACTAAATATGATTATATATGTATTTATGTATATATATATACATGTATATATAAATACATTGTTGACTTCTTTTGGAAGTAAATAATTAATTAATTGATTAAAGGAGACAATATAATTGACAAGATAAAATTTATTAGAATGTTCAAGAAAAAGTGTATTTGATTTTATATAATGTAAAAAAGAAAAAGAAACGACAAAAGAAAAGAAAATCAAATTGACCATAAAAAAACAATAAAATTTTTATACAAGATTCATTTTATTTTTTAATTTTTTGTTTTCGTCTATTACGACTAAAAGAAAAAATGAAAAGAAAAGGGGTGTTAGTTTTATAAAATTGGATATAATAACACAGATGGCGCTAGTAGTCATCGTCTATCGATAAACTAACCTAATACGTTCCTTTGTCCTCGATAGTGAAGCTTGAATTGAATTAACAACAATGGCCGTTGTGGTTGGCTGTCATTGGAAAACTTTAGCAGATTATGTATCGAATGACAGTTCCTTTATGATTGATCATTTTAATCAGTTTTTCGTATTAATCAATTTGTAAATATTACGAGTTAAAAGGAATTGTGACAGAAGATGATTATTTAATAAACTTAAGATTCGCGGGTATCGACTGGTGGATCATCAATGACCAGCTGACAATGTTTTTCAATTAGCATAATTTATTGTGATCATCTGCTACTCGCGGTTATTCGAAAATGTTCAAAGCCGAGGAATCCTCTCGAGGCAGCTTCCTTCAGCAAACTAAAGCAGCAAGAGAAGAAAGAGCTCATGAAAAGGACAGGGAAGCTGCTGTCACTGTTATTCAAGCTTATGTTAGAGGATGGTTGGCTCGGATAAGATTTACCAAAAAGATTCTGTGAGTTAATATCATTCCATTAACTGTTATCGTATTTTTCCAATGTTATTTATTGTACACGAATGTATATATAAATATATTTATATTTAATATATCTATATCTATATATATATATACATATATATATGTATATATCAATACCTAATATTAACACATGACATTAATTGTCATATCAATGATATCCAATTTATGTTCATAATATAAGCATGTTCTGCTTTTAGAGAGGAATTCGATATCAATTTTCCTGATGATTGTACAAAGCTCGATGCAAACATTGAGTTGCAGCTTGCATTGCATATATACAGGGTTACTTCTAGATTTTTGATTATTTATAAGAAGGAAAGGGATCAAGAGCGTATAGAAAAATTATGTAGGTGTGTATACAGAGACAAATATATTGTATAGGTAATATAATTATTTGATATGATATCAAGAGTTTCTTAGAGAATAATACAAAGTTTATTTCATTTTATTTATTAATCATCTGTTCTTTTATTTTTTAGATACCTTGTGCAAACTCTACATTCGGAGTCTCCTAAATTCTCATACGTAGGTGTTGCTCTTAACAAGGATCACTACATATCATGGATATTGCAAATGAAAACAATTTTAAATCATTGTCTCATTGGCTTGGACAGCCTTAAACCTGAAATAAGTTCTGACCATACGTCCATCCTATTGAGATTATACACATTAGTTAGTTTTACATCACCGGCATCATGGGCGATATTAAAAGTAGAGGGTATGGAGAAACTGAGACCTGGTATGAGTCAGTTATGCGCTAATATAATGGGGCATCTTGTCAATAATGGCTTTTATGCTATTATGCAGGTAACCATTTATAAAAACTTCTTCAATTTAATAGTCTTTAGGTGTGAATATTAGTAACACAAATTATTTTTTATGTTGTAGACGTTACTAGTAAAAGGATTAGGTAGAGCAGAAGTTTCATCGATATCAGTTGCACTCTCTGCAGCTGTGACATTAACTTTAAGACCATTGATATCTTCACAAATGTCAGATAAATTAGTATCGCTATTTTTAATTAATATTTTTAGTGTCCCTGCTTTAGTTTATCACTTGAACATGTTATGTCCAGAGGTATAATCATCTTCTTATCTTATATCTATTTCTTAAAAAAAAAAAAAAAAAAAAAAACAACGATAAAAAATAACATCTATGTTGTGAATATACATAGTCATGCTGATGCAATCTTTCAGTGCATTTCATCCTTTATTATGCACAATTTATTTGCGAGAAGTTTGGAACTATTAAATTCGGAACAAAATTTGAGGATAGTTTTTAATGCATTGGAGGGTAGTTACGCACTATGTCTATTATCCAATTTAATACAGTTAGCCAATATCGAAAGAGAAGAAGTCCTGAGAGATTCGTATTTTCCTTCTTTTACGGTGAGACATAATCGAATAGTACCAATATTTGTATTATCAATTTTAATTTAAATATGTTATTATTATTTATAGTTTGTTGTTACAAAAATGCTAGAAGCATGTCAACAGTACGTTGTAGCCAAACAAAGTAACATAACTCATTGGCATCCAATTCTCGGTTGGTTTGCTCAATCAGTTGATACTCCTTTACAAGAAGCTATTCCTTACGTCACATCGCAATTAGCTTGCCTATGGACTGGCAGAATTGTTTTACAGTTAATTGGTAAGATACAATTTATTCCAATGAATGTGCATATATGTAAATAATATTTAATAATAAAATAATATTATTATTATCTTGATCTTTTGTTTAAAGGCCAACCATTAACCGAACTAGTTGGTAAGGAATCACCTCCGCAGATGGAACAACAGAGCACATCTCTAAGTACTAATATTTTCCGTCGAGCATTTTTGGAAGCACGCACAAATAGAAATAATAGCAATAAAAATTATAGAAAATTAGGGAGTCCTGAATGTACCAAAATTGCCCTGATTTGTTCCATGTATCAAACTGCTCTACATACGCTTACACAAATGAAGCAGGACATATTAACAGGTATAATGTTTCACGCACAATTATTTATACATTCACTATATATTTATTATTTTGTAGGGCTTTGTTATCAAGATAAAATTTTGTATCATATGTGGTTATTTTTGGGAACATTGGGGCCACACTGTGGCTTAAAAGCGTTTCTGGATCATTTAGCAGCGAATACGAAATGTACTGCGCCAGAATTTCAAATGTTGATATTATTTTGTGATTGTATGACTCATTACGTTACGTGAGTGTACATATTATTATTTATATTTAATAATTAAATTATATTAAAATAATGACGCGTTATTAATTTCTTTTTAGCATATTAGATGACATGGAGATGTACGAGCAGCAAGATCCTTTTAAATTATCGGACTTTATAACAATGTCATTTTTTTTAAACCAATTTTTATACAAAGCTGTTCTTAATAATCTATTTGGTAAGTTATACAAATTTCCATGCAAATGATTGCCAATAAGATATTTGTCCTTATCGAAGAAAGACAATTTGCGTGTAGCTACGTGCTAAAGTTTTTAGATGTTACAGATGTGAAAACAGTGTCTAACAATCCGTTATTTACATCACTACATACACTTTTAATGGCTATTTACCGTCGAGATTGCAGAAGGCCTTTTTGTCCAGATGGACATTGGTTGGCGAAGTTAAGTATATAATTTATAGACAAATCATAAAATATTCATTTTGTTAATATGAATTATTTTCTTTTTTGTTTTTTTTTTTTTTTTTTATAAAATAGGAGGTACGAGTTTCTGGTTTCTTAGCGGATTTAGAAAAAAGGAGAGGTGGTGCAGCACTTTTGCTTTCAAAAATGCCGCACGTTATACCGCACTCCGAACGAGTGGTTTTATTTCGAAAACATGTTGCTAACGAGAAAGCAGTTATGGGTTTAACTGAGAGTGCTTGTAATAGTCCACCAACTACGCTAATAGTTGTTCATAGGTTGTTAAATATTTAAAAAGTTGTTATTGAATTTATAAATGGTTATAAAAATGGATTAATTGAATGTAAATATTTGATAGAACGCGTATAGTAGAGGATGGCTATCGGCAGTTAGCAATGTTACCTCCTCAAGCTTTGAAAGGTGTAATCAGAGTACGTTTCGTAAATGAACAGGGTTTGGCAGAAGCTGGAATAGATCAGGATGGTGTATTTAAAGAATTTTTGGAAGAAACGATCAAAAGAGTTTTTGATCCGTCTTTGAATTTGTTTAAAGCTACTAGCGAAAATCGTCTTTATCCTTCTCCAACGTCCTCGATGCAGGACAATCATTTACAATTATTTGAATTCGTTGGACGAATGCTAGGCAAGGCTGTTTACGAGGTAAATCATTTTATATCTCTTATTAATTTTAGATTAAAAAAAAAAATAGATACTGTAAATATCAGTCTTTTTGTATAAGAGACAGCTAATTTATTAGATTAAATTTTTAGGGAATCGTCGTAGATGTTCCGTTTGCGTCATTTTTTGTTTCCCAATTTTCTGGGCAAGCTGGAGGAACCTTGTATAATTGTTTAGACGAGTTAGCTTCGTTGGATCGTGATCTCTATCGTAGTCTAACTTTAGTAAAACATTACAAAGGTGATATTAGACAATTAGAATTGACTTTTTCGTTGGATGAAGATGTGATGGGAAAATTAGTAACTCACGAGTTGATACCTGGTGGACGTGCCGAGGCAGTTACTAATCAAAATAAAATACGTTATATACATCGAATGGCACATTTTCGTATGCATACGCAAATCAAGGAACAAACGGCTGCTTTTATTAAAGGATTTTGTTCGATAATCAATCCTGATTGGTTGTCATTATTTTCAACGCCCGAAGTAAGAGAAGAAATTGAAATATATAATAGAATATATTTTATATTTCATGGAAATATATTTTTTGTACGTTTATTCTTTCAGCTGCAAAGATTAATATCGGGTGACAACGTCCCATTAGATCTGCGCGATCTACGTAGACACACGCAATACTATGGTGGATTCCATGATAGTCATAGAGTAGTATGCTGGTTATGGGACATCCTTGAGAAAGATTTTACCGAGGAAGAAAGAGGCTTATTTTTAAAGGTACATTTTCAACGCGATAACAACCAATCCTTTTCTAATAAACAATATCAATTTTTCTAAATTTATGATAATGTGTTTGATATAAATAATAGTTCGTCACAAGCTGTTCAAAATCACCGTTGCTGGGTTTCGCTCATTTGGAACCACGATTTTCCATACGTTGCGTTGAAGTTGGCGATGACGAGGATACAGGCGACACAATTGGTACGTTCATCCACTTATTTGCTCTTTTATAAATTTCAACATTTTGCCATTGTAATTCTGTAATAATTTGTTAAATATTTCAATTAATTAGGCAGTGTGATAAGAGGATTTTTTACGATACGTAAAAAGGATCCTCAAATTCGGTTGCCTACTTCTTCAACTTGTTTCAATTTATTGAAACTACCAAATTACCAGAAAAAGAGTACACTTCGTGAAAAGTTACGTTATGCTGTTACCAGTAACACCGGCTTTGAACTTTCTTAATTAATCTACGACTTATTGGTAGTAACAATCATCAGGGAACTAACTCGAAACGCGGAGCAAAAATCGAAAGTGATCGAGCGGTGCCTAACTGATTTACCCCATGTTTCAATATAAAACGTGACCTATATAAATATCTACAAAAAAAAAAATATATATATATATATATACATATTACAATTAAAAATCGAAGAATGAACGAAAATGTACAGTAAAACATATACACGTATATAGTCTTAAGCCTAACTAATAAGTTGCAAGAATTGTAACTTCTTTAGAATAATTATTTGCACAAATATTTCTTATGATATTTAAGAAAAAATGAAACAAACAAACAAACAAACAAAAAATACCATGAAGATTTCTTAGCTAATTTCTATTTTTGTTCTTTTTTTTTATTGTGTTTACCGGTTGCATATATCTTTCCATTATTGATAAGTAACCTAGAAAAAAAAGAGTAAGGGTAGATAAGCCGACATGCAAATCTGGTGCATATTATCTTGCGTTGTTCCTTTGTAAATCTATATATACTACTAAGTGTACTAGACTCATGCGATATTTAGTTTAAGTGATTATGATTAATTACTATATGTTTTTTTTTTTATAATCAACCTATTGCGTTTCTTCTCGATTGTGTATAATTAGTTGAAAAACGATGCGATTTCTAGGACAATTCCAGGCGTGATTCATGTGTACCTTATACGAGCTTACAATTATTAATCGTTCGCTTTTTAGTCAAATGGTAGAAAAAAATAATGGCGTTATTATGGAAGTGGTTTGCATATTCGTATACATACAATAAATGTTAATCATTGAGTAAGTGAGAAAGAAGGTATATATATATATATATATATATATATATATATATATATATATATATGTACCTATATTATATGTACGTATAAAACAATTTTGTGAGAATAAAAATTTAAGGAATGAGGTAAAAATAATATAAATAAACAAAAAAAAAAAAGAAAAAAAAGAAAAGAAAACAAAAGAAAAAATACGGCAGACGCTCTATTTTGAAGAGAGCTATTTTCTCGATAAATTTTTGTACAAATTTTTGAAAAGAATATTGCGAATTATATAAAACGCATTGTGCGATTTAATACGATGGTGTCGTCGTTGTGAATGGAATCGGCAATGTTTTTTACACTGAATTTCCTCTACGAATTCTCCTCTCTTTTGTTATTTCATTGAGATTGATATTATATATATACATACCTACATAGGACACAGTATGAACACATTTCGTATTTCGATTTTTTGAATAATGGAATCAATGGGGGAGGAGATTTACGTGAGAAGTTTAGTAAGACCAAAGATAAAATTAATAAATCTATTTAGCGCTTAGAAATACGAGTTCTGCGCTTGCATATTTTCCTACGTAATATCGCAACAAAATATATACATATGTATATATATATATATTATTATTATTATTATTATTACTATTATTACTATTATTACTATTATTATTTAGCAGCAACACTTTCGATTTCTCTGTTCACATTTAGTATAATGTTGGAAAAAATTTTCAAAATTATGATTGTAATCGCAATCGTGAATAATCTGTTAAATATTTATATATATATTGAGAAAATATTGTTATACGTTAATGTATAAAGATCGATATATTTATTGAAATTTAGTTGATTTCGAAAGTTCGTACTATATGTAATAATATTTGGAAATGATGCTATTTTGTTCAATACAGTGAATAGAGAAACGTTTTACGTAATAAGAGGAATACGTGATCGATCTTTAAAAAAATATTTTTTGGAAACTATAAGAAAAACTATTTGAAATAAAAAACGAGAGTTCAGATTCGATCTTCGTATTTCATAAGTTTTATTTAAATAACTATTCTTATAATTATCGGGATGTAATACCAAACACGAATAATCTGAAACAATAAATATACATTTTTCTTATGATCACTATGAATATATATATATATACATATATGTATATAATTAAAGAAAGAGAGGGAGAGAAAGAAAAAGAAAAAAAACGAGGAGAGATTATATATGCTTTGTATAAATCGGCCGTTTCGTTGGAAAACGAAACGATTAGGTATAGACTATGTTTTCTAAATGTATATCGCGTCGTACCAACGATAGCGAAGAAGAAAAAATAGAAAGAAGGAAAGAAAATAAAACAAGAGCGTCATCGTCAATCTAAAAATACATCTCTGGAAATTATATCGATAATCATGTAAATATTTACAAAACTTGCATCATTGTTATTTTTAATTTGTCCTTTATCATCCAATATTATCCCATAAGAAACTTTGACTAAACCTTATGAGATTATTATTTATTTATTTAGGATAGGATATGAACGGTCAACAGAGAAAAAATAGAAATTTAGTAAACTTAAATGAGAAAAGATACGAATAATAAATAAAGATTATTTAGGTATAGTAGAAAGTATTTTACAAAGAAAGATAAAGATAAGGAAAAAATTCGTTGTTTTTAGATAAAAAAAAAAAACAAAAAGTAAGAAATGAATAAAGAAAGACTTATTTGAAATTGGAGAACAAAGATGGCGCGCCGTCGATCGAATGCGTGCGCATTTATGGGGGGAGGAGTCACATGACCGTCGGCGTTACGGTTGGACCCCAGCGCTGTCGGCGCTACATCGCCCCCGCCACGATCAGTGGTTAGCGGGCATCGGCTGCGAAAAGGCGTGTTTTTCGTTTATCCCGCGAAAATCACTCTCTCCACCGCGTCTATCACGAGAGACTCTCTCTATTATTTCTTTTTTTGTCTCTCCGGTTAACACTCTCTTCCTTTTCCTGTTATCCAAAATTCCATAGATTTATCTCCGTCTCCTACGTTGTCGCTTATTTTCTTTCTTTTCTTTTTTTTTTTTTTTACTATTTATTTCCTCTCGTGTGTGTACCTTCCGTCATCGCCCTTTTCTCGTAAACGGGCGCGGGCGCGCGCGCTCGTTCTGTGCTTTCTCTCTTTCTCTCTCGCATTGTATCTTTTCCTCGTGTGTGTATATGCATTTATATACATATTATATGTATGTATGTATCAGTGTAAATTAGTGTATGTGTTAGTGCGCGCGTGCAACGCAATACAACATAACAGCAGTAAGCACGACTGTCATAAACGTGCTCTGGTATTCTTCGTTTCTTCTTCGTCTATCTCTTATAATTAGCCAATACTACAGTAGCAGTACAGTGTCAGTACAGTGCCAGTACAGTACCAGTACAGTAGCAATAATTGTCGTAACCGTTGAAGAAAACGAATCGTAATCAAGAACATTGTCGCGAATTTTCGTACGCGTCGTTCCGTGTTTCCAATAGTTGAATTATCTCGCCTTTTGTCCTCCTCTATATCAACGTTTTATGCGTTCAATTAAACGTGTAAGTATCATTGTCTCTTTTTCTCACATCTATGGTGTCGTTTAAAGACGACGAATGAGCAATTCGGAAGATCAACGGCGATCATTTAGTACTTATTGACGCGGTGTCTATGTACATGCAACATAACCTCCACATCAAGTGAAATAGAAAGAGAAAAAGTGGAAGAAGAAAATAAACGATTAAACCGCGATGGGATTGCGCTAATCTACACGATATTTTTCAACTGAAATGAAGTAATAGGGGAACAACGAGTGTTATCGAAAAGAAACGAAGGAAACACGGAAAGTCTTCTGAAGGTAAAGACCCTGCTAATATAAAAGAAAGAAGAGAAACGGCGAGAAAGAGAGAGAAAGAGAAAGAGAAAAATACAAAGAAGACGAAGAAAAACGAAAGATGCGGAAGAAGATTCCTTTGTGAGAGAGAACGTCCTTGCGAGGTGAGGCTCGCACCACGTGCTTCGTTAGAGTGGTGAAGAGCGCGAGGACGAGGAGGAGGAGGAGCAGGAGGACGGGGAGGAAGAACAACGCGTCGGCGACGTCGCGTAGAGGTTTTCTCGGTAGAGCGAATAGCGGCACGGTGGCCCGTCGGTTGAGAAGAGGAGGAGGAGGTGGCGGAGGTGGCGGAGGTGGCGGTGGTGGAGGCGGTGGTGGTGGTGGCAGTGGCA